GGACACTGAATGAAATGTGTGTTGTACACATGAGTTTTGAGTACTGGCACAAGGATAAACATATACACCAACGGAATAGAAGTGAGAGCCAAGAAATAAACCCATATATCTATGGCCAACTGATTTTTGACAATGGTGACAAGACCATTCAATGGGGAAAGACCAGTCTCTTCAACAAATGCTGCTGGGACAACTGGATATCCACATGCAAAAGAATGAAGTTGAGCCCCCACCTTGCATCATATACAAAATGAACTCAAAATGGATTAATGACCCAAATATAGTGCTAAAACTTGACAATTCTTAGAAGAAAACACAGGGATAAATATTCATGACTTTGGACTTGGCAACAGATTCTTAGCTATGACACCAAAAAAATAAGCAACAAAAGAATAAATAGATTAATTGTACTGCATCAAAATTAAAAACCTTTGCATATCAAAGGACATTATAAAAAGAATAAAAAGACAACCCACAAAATGGGAGAAAATATTTGCAAAAAATATGCTAATATCTGATAAGGGTCTAGTATCCAGAACATATAAAGAACTCCCATAATTCAACAACAAAATGACAAACAGCCCAATTTAAAAACGGGCAAAGGAACTGAACAGAAATTTCTCCAAAGAAGATATATACAAGTGGCCAATAAGCACATGAAAAGCTGTTCAATATCCTTAGTCATTAGGGACATGCAAATCAAAACCACAATGAAATACCATTTCACATGCACTACGATGGGTATATTAAGGAGGGGTGGGCAGGAATAATAAATGGAGAGGATGTGGAAAAATTAGGACCCTCGAAAGTTGCTGCTGGGAATGTAAAATGGTGCAGACAGTGTGGAAAATAGTTTGGCAGTTCCTCTAAAAGTTAAATATAGAATCACCATATGACCAGCAACTCTCTTATATATATACCCAAAAAACTGAAAACAGGTACTCAAATAAATACTTGTGCAGAAATGTCCACAGCAGCACTATTCACAATAGCCAAAAGGTAGAAATAACTCAAATGTCTCTCAATGAATAAATGGATAAACAAACTTTAGTATACCCATACAATGTAATATTATTCAGCCAGGAAAGGAATGACATACTGATACTTGCTACAGCATGGATGAACCTGAAAACATTATGCTAAGTCAACAAAGTCAGACACAAAAGGTTACCTGTTGTATGGTTCTATTTATAGGAAATACCCAGAATAAGTAAATCCTCACAAGCAGATTGGTAGTTGCCAGAGGATGGGTACAAGGAGCAATGGGGAATGACTTTAATGGAGACGGGGTTTTCTTTTGGGGTAATGAAATGTTTTGAAACTAGATTAAGGTGGTAGCTGCACAATATTGTGAATGCACTAAACACCACTGAATTGCACACTTTAAAATGGTTAGTTTTATGTCATGTGAATTTGACCTCAATAATAATTTTTTAAAATCTTAGCTGACTGACCCCATGGCTCACTCGGGAGAGTGCGGCACTGGTAATGCTGAGGCCGCGGGTTCGGATCCTTTATGGGCCGATTCCGTGGCGCACTCGGGAGAGTGCGGCGCTGGGAGCGCAGCGGTGCTCCCGCCATGGGTTCAGATCCTATATGGGAATGGCCGGTGAGCTCACTGGCTGAGCGTGGTGCGGGCGACACCAAGCCAAGGGTTGCGATCCTCTTACCGGTCACGAAAAAGACATAAAAAAAAAATCTTAGCACAAACACAGAAAGAAACAGACCTTAATATTAAATGACCCAGATATTTCCGTATTCTCTTTATATATAATCTCTAAAAATTATGCTTTACCTTTTCACCCTGTACCTCTTGTTGTTTTTTTCTCACAAGTTTTTGCCTTTTCTCATTCTTCTCTTCTTCTTCTAAGACATCAAAACATAAAAATGCTTTTTATTTCTCAAGTATTGATAAGTCAATTGGTACATTCCCTGAAAATAGTCCGTAGATTTTAACATTTTGGGAGAGACAAGCAGCATTCAAAAGCATTATATTTTTCAAGTAATGAAAATGAGATACATGTAGACAGTTGAAACAAATTCTCAAGGAAATCTATAATGCAAGCTCTGTTGTGAAAAATTCTGTGATATGTATTAATATTGGAATAGTTCCAGANAGAACCCAGCCACAACTAGGCAAGCTGCCGCCACCACCCTGGGCCCTGCCGGGGACCTGAGAAGCCAAACCCAGCTGCAACCAGGTAAAGAACACACCAAAAACACCACCAGAACCCAGCCACAACTAGGCAAGCTGCCGCCACCACCCTGGGCCCTGCCGGGGACCTGAGGCGTGGAGCCAGGGGAAGCCAAACCAGCTGCAACCAGGTAAAGAACACACCAAAAACACCATTTTCATTCAGGTAGCCAACCACAGCCACCACAATTGCCATGGCTGCCACAAAAGTGGCTAGTCTCTATAGTAGCAGTCACAGCCACTGTGCAGATGGCATGCCAGTCTCTCAACTGCACTGACCCAAGGAGAGGCAGCAGCAGAGACCAAAAAAAGGGGGGAGGGGGTCCTCTTTCTCCACAAAGCACACTCCAAAGTAATAGAAGAAGCATTTGCTTTACAATAATAGGGAAGGACTTGATCACACCTGTCTCAGTACTGGATAGATCATCTAGGCAATGAACCAACAGAGGAACAGTTAATCTATCAGATGGAGAGAACAAATCTATAGTTATCAGAGGGGGAAGGAGGAAGGAGAGAGATTGGATAAGGAGCATAAAGAGTAAGTATGATTTGTAGCAAAGAATATGCTAATAAAAATTTTTAATATTTTAAGAAAACAAAAAATCAGTTGTTTCTACTCAGCAATGAAAAATCAGAAAAGAAAATTAAGAACAATTCCATTTATAAAAGCATATAAAATAGTAAAAATACCTAGGCATAAATTAAACCAAAGGTGTGAAAGATTTGTATACTGAAAACTACAAAACATCACTGGAAGAAATTAAAGACAAAAGACATAAATAAATGAAAAAATCCTGTGTTCACGAGTTGGAAGTATTGTTGTCATTAAGACGTCAATACTACCCAAAGCTATCTACAGATTCAGTGCAATTCTCAAAATTCCAATGGCCTTTTTTGCATAAACGGAAAAGCCAATCCCCAGATTCATGTGCTATTGCAAGGGGCTCTGAATAGCCAAAGCAATATTATAAAAGAAGAACAGTGTTGGAGGACTCACACTTTGACTTCAAAACTGACTAAAAAGCTACCATAATCAAAACAGAATGGTACTGGCACAAGGATAAACATATACACCAACGGAATAGAAGTGAGAGCCAAGAAATAAACCCATATATCTATGGCCAACTGATTTTTGACAATGGTGACAAGACCATTCAATGGGGAAAGACCAGTCTCTTCAACAAATGCTGCTGGGACAACTGGATATCCACATGCAAAAGAATGAAGTTGAGCCCCCACCTTGCATCATATACAAAATGAACTCAAAATGGATTAATGACCCAAATATAGTGCTAAAACTTGACAATTCTTAGAAGAAAACACAGGGATAAATATTCATGACTTTGGACTTGGCAACAGATTCTTAGCTATGACACCAAAAAAATAAGCAACAAAAGAATAAATAGATTAATTGTACTGCATCAAAATTAAAAACCTTTGCATATCAAAGGACATTATAAAAAGAATAAAAAGACAACCCACAAAATGGGAGAAAATATTTGCAAAAAATATGCTAATATCTGATAAGGGTCTAGTATCCAGAACATATAAAGAACTCCCATAATTCAACAACAAAATGACAAACAGCCCAATTTAAAAACGGGCAAAGGAACTGAACAGAAATTTCTCCAAAGAAGATATATACAAGTGGCCAATAAGCACATGAAAAGCTGTTCAATATCCTTAGTCATTAGGGACATGCAAATCAAAACCACAATGAAATACCATTTCACATGCACTACGATGGGTATATTAAGGAGGGGTGGGCAGGAATAATAAATGGAGAGGATGTGGAAAAATTAGGACCCTCGAAAGTTGCTGCTGGGAATGTAAAATGGTGCAGACAGTGTGGAAAATAGTTTGGCAGTTCCTCTAAAAGTTAAATATAGAATCACCATATGACCAGCAACTCTCTTATATATATACCCAAAAAACTGAAAACAGGTACTCAAATAAATACTTGTGCAGAAATGTCCACAGCAGCACTATTCACAATAGCCAAAAGGTAGAAATAACTCAAATGTCTCTCAATGAATAAATGGATAAACAAACTTTAGTATACCCATACAATGTAATATTATTCAGCCAGGAAAGGAATGACATACTGATACTTGCTACAGCATGGATGAACCTGAAAACATTATGCTAAGTCAACAAAGTCAGACACAAAAGGTTACCTGTTGTATGGTTCTATTTATAGGAAATACCCAGAATAAGTAAATCCTCACAAGCAGATTGGTAGTTGCCAGAGGATGGGTACAAGGAGCAATGGGGAATGACTTTAATGGAGACGGGGTTTTCTTTTGGGGTAATGAAATGTTTTGAAACTAGATTAAGGTGGTAGCTGCACAATATTGTGAATGCACTAAACACCACTGAATTGCACACTTTAAAATGGTTAGTTTTATGTCATGTGAATTTGACCTCAATAATAATTTTTTAAAATCTTAGCTGACTGACCCCATGGCTCACTCGGGAGAGTGCGGCACTGGTAATGCTGAGGCCGCGGGTTCGGATCCTTTATGGGCCGATTCCGTGGCGCACTCGGAAGAGTGCGGCGCTGGGAGCGCAGCGGTGCTCCCGCCATGGGTTCAGATCCTATATGGGAATGGCCAGTGAGCTCACTGGCTGAGCGTGGTGCGGGCGACACCAAGCCAAGGGTTGCTTGCGATCCTCTTACCGGTCACGAAAAAGACAAAAAAAAAAAAATCTTAGCACAAACACAGAAAGAAACAGACCTTAATATTAAATGACCCAGATATTTCTGTATTCTCTTTATATATAATCTCTAAAAATTATGCTTTACCTTTTCACCCTGTACCTCTTGTTGTTTTTTTCTCACAAGTTTTTGCCTTTTCTCATTCTTCTCTTCTTCTTCTAAGACATCAAAACATAAAAATGCTTTTTATTTCTCAAGTATTGATAAGTCAATTGGTACATTCCCTGAAAATAGTCCGTAGATTTTAACATTTTGGGAGAGACAAGCAGCATTCAAAAGCATTATATTTTTCAAGTAATGAAAATGAGATACATGTAGACAGTTGAAACAAATTCTCAAGGAAATCTATAATGCAAGCTCTGTTGTGAAAAATTCTGTGATATGTATTAATATTGTAATAGTTCCAGAATGTTCTGGTGGACTTTCTTCTCCGGGCCCCTGATGGGGCTTCAGCGGTTCCAGGGCATAGCATGGAAGCCCATCACTGCACATGAAGTGTTGCATGTTGCGCTGCAGGTGCAAGGAGAGGAATGCCATTCCGCTGCCCTTGGACATGACAGTAAAAGCAACAAGTCTAATCCCAGAAGGTGAGGTATGCCTGGCAACTCCTATTATGACTAAACCAATGTTAGGTTACTGCCCGTTGTACGTCAAGAGAAAGGAACTCTGCTGTTGCATGGACCCTTTTAATATTCTTGGTATAATAAATTTCATATAGTAAATTTCTCAATTCTTAAGACAACATATAAAGAATAATTTTCTAATACAGTATTAATAATATTCAAAACGGCTCATAAATATTAACAATGAACCAGAAACTGTATTCCCTTGAGGAATGAACCACATTTCAGGAAAATATATCAATTGAACTGCCTGTCTCCTTAAATAGGAGCAGTCCCTTCCACCAACAACTTTATCCCCACAGCAGTAAATACTTCCTCAAGTTTATAAAATAAAGGTTAGGGCAATAAAGCACAACAGGAAACCAGAAGGCCCGATTTGGCCACTAACTTGCTAGTGATTAATCAGATTCAGTAATCTTAAGACTCCTTCGAAACTTTGAATCGAATATACTTTTTCCACATATCATATCCATATTCAAAAAAAAAAAAAATATATATATATATATATATATGTATACACACACACACACACACTTTAAAAATAAACCAGTAGCAGGAGATAATCTCCAAAGCCACTGAGAACTGACTGCTCCTGAACTTGTGATACGCCTCGGCATGCAAACCTTTAAATCTCAATATCTGATGACAGCAGGGAAGATGGAAAGTGTGTGAACAAGCTGATTTCTTCACTCATTTGAAGAAAATCTGACAATAATTAGGCACTATATACAGTCTTCCTAATATTACCATATTAGATAGCATTGGCTTTCAGTGATAATTATGCCTCAAAATTGTCAACCCATAAATGTACCAAATGACTTGCCCTCCAACAACACAAAGGCAAAACTTAAAGTACAGAAACTGTGTAAAGGGCACATTTCCCTTCTCTATAAAACACAGAATAGAACACCTGGCCATTAAACTAGCTAGTTTAATGTATACAGCAAATATCCTCCTGATATCAAAATATATTTAACACAAAGTACCTAAGAGAAATAACAAAGCTCTTGTTTAATTTGAAGTATAAGAAATCAAATAACTTACCAAAAAAAAAAAAAAAAAATCCAAAATCTATGATTGAAAGATCCTGAAACATCCACACTGTCATTTATGTTTGGGTTGAACAGTATGTATATCCTTTTAGGATTACGGTTTTATTCACAGTTATAGGATTACGGTTTTATTCACAGTTAATTTGGACACGCTGTAAATTAAACATTGCTCATTTTCCTTTTATTTATTTACATTTAAATAAACAGCCGAACAAAACAACATGTACCAAACTTACCATTGGCAAGCTTCTTCCTAATAGTATATAAGAATGTAGCTTTTTGTTTTAAGATCCATCTGTTCTGAGGCTAAGGACAATATCATTTTAAAAGGTTTCTAGAACTCAAAAACTTTTGCTATCAAGAAAAAAAAAACAGCAAGCATGATATCCTAAAATTAAAAGTGCTTAAATATATACAAGATAGGTGCCTAAATAAAAACTGCTAGAATAGAATGAAAAATTAGGAAAAGCATTTAGAGATTAATGGTAGATACCTTTTTACTTTCTGTAGAACAGTTAATAAGCTATAGGCATCAAACAACAGTTGTGGCATAAACACATAATTTAAAATTAGGGAATTTACAATGTAACAACTTAGAAAAGACACAGTTTCAAAAAATATACAAAGAAAATGTATGGTTTCTCATAAAAATGTAGAGATTCATAGTCCATTCCAAATTATCATGACTAGAAAATGAATTAAAGACTTACACTTAAAAAAAAATAATAATCATGACTAAAGCTGTAATGGTTACTCCCTTTGAAATTACACATCACAAATAATAAATCGTTCTGATGATGCAAAGTTCTAGAATAAATAAAGGAAAAAAATTTGAGTAGAAAAGTAAAGGGTAGCATGAATAATAAACTTACCTTTCAGATAAACTTGGGAAGACTTAAATGAGTTAAGCCATGAGGTAGTCACAGAAATAATTAAAGTGAGAAGAGCAAGGAGTAAGAAAATCCGGCCACACAGCAAAATGAAATCTTTAATTCCTTATAGAGGAAAAAAATTAAAATTAAAATTAAAAACACTTTTCTTGATACTAATAATAAATAACACATTAGAAGATTATACTAGAAAAGTATAATAAAAGTTGTTATGCAACCAGCATGATTTTTTCCATATATTCTCCTTTGGACACTTAAAATTCATCATGGTCGTCATTACCAGAACAAGTTTTCAGAAAATAATTTTAGCATAGACACCTTCTGTCTTAGGAATACAAGTATGATTAGAGTGATCAGCTACATTATAAATATTATGACTACCAATGATGCATAACTTCTGGTTTCCCTTCATGTCAGAGAAGAAAAGAAAATTAGCAACATAATTGGGAATCAAATTGTGAAAGTATCATCTTGTCAAATTCTAGTTCTATTAAAAACTGTCATTCCCACTGAAACACCAAATTCTTATTTCTCACAATCAAATTGTGCAACTGTGTGCTTCCCTATCTCTCAATATTTATTTAGTAATTTGTAAATAAAATTACTATTTACATGTTTGCCTAGGAAAGAAGTAAAAATTCAATATTTGTTCTTAATTATTTTAAGAACTGAGGTGAAAATTAAATCAGCAAAAATGTAACAAATACCTACGTCGTGTAATATAATTGGCTAGATGGTGATGGAGAGGAGACATAAAGTTGGGTTAAAAATGGTTTCTATCCTCCAGGAGTTTTTAGTCTTGTTTTGTTTTTAATTTTCAAAAGTTACATGGCAGAGATACAGAGGAATCATCTTAGCAATGTGATCAGGGCTGGCAGTCAATTAACTAAGAAGGAATTATAAAAACATATATACAAACTTAAACGTTTTACGTTTAATTGAAAACAGATATATATACGTTATCCTTTAAAAATAAAACAGCAATTTAAAGTTGTTTAGAGAAGAAATATAATTTTTTAAAATTTATTTTTGCATTACAACTCCTCCAACTTTCGACAACATTAACTTTTTTTTTTTGGTGGCTGGCCGGTATGGATATCCGAACCCTTGACCTTGGTGTCGACATTGGTGTCGACAGCATTAACTACTGATTCAGGTGTTGTTTAATACCACACATAATTAAATCTAGGGTATCTCTGGCCATTACAAAACTAACTTAACACCTAGAGTACTGGTATGTATTGATTGTGGGATTTATGTTCTGGCATATTGCATTTTGTTCTAACAAGCAGCAATTTACGCATTTTGTTCTAACAAGCAGCAATTTGCGAATATCACGTGGGAATATACAAGAACTAGATTTGTGAGTACACCTTTCAAGTAAAAATTTTAAAAATTAAGGTATTTTTATTTGTACCAAAACCCTAGAGCCCATAAACAGGGCACTACAGAGGACAACGAACGTGAAGAACCAGCCTTAAAATATTCAGCTTAAGTTCAAGTAAAACGTATTGGCAATAAAGGCTTTTTTACACAGTAGAAAAAGATAGGGATTATTTTTCATATAAAATGTCTAAAAGTACAGTGGAGATAAATGAACAGGTCTGGGAGTTCCATTTTTGCCCCCGAGAATCCAATTAGCAGCTCCCATTAAGAATACAAGTATCTGTAAATACTGTTCCACACATAACTAGCCCTGCCGCTGTTGCACTGGGGGAGGCAGGACTGGTAAAATATACTTAAATACTGTTAATAGATATTTGGATGCCCACTATCCAGAAACCAAAGGAAACCACCACCAGTTCACAACTGAGAGGAATCCAGGAGAAAGGAGTTAAGTGAAAAATTCAAGAACCAGATGGAGATGCTGCCAGGAGCCCAACTGCATTTTCTAGAACTCTTGGCCTAGTTTTATTAAATTAGACATTGTGGAAAGTGCTAGGTATACAAAAACAAATTAGATGTGGTGTCTGCCCTTAAGAAGTGTACTCCCCTGTGGTCAGAACTGGACACCTCGGCAAAGACCTTCTCATTGACCAGAGACTCAAATATTAGTGCAAAGTAGAAGATTCTAAATGAGCAGAGTAGGGGTGGATGCTGTAAAGGCAAGAGAGGTGAATTCCGGAACAGGTGAATGTGAATTGAACATTTCTGTGTATCATTTTGATAAAGGTCTTGCTATATTCCAATATAGCTTGAGTAAGTACAAGGCTTCTGGAGGGTCTTTGCAGATTTTTACAAAGCATTTTATTATTTCTTATTTCAAGCAACATTTCTGGGTACCTGACTCCTTAGGGGGTGGGAAAGGAGAGTGGAGAGAGAGGAGATGTACAAAGCTAAGCTACATCCTGGTGACAAACTTCAGAACTAAGTTTAAGGAGAGAGACAGACATGTAAACTGATCACTAATATATCCAAAAATCCACTCTGTTCCTGTTTCCCCTTTGCCAACGACACCACAACATCCTACACTTAGAGGAGTCATCCTCCAACCCTTCCTTTCCCTCACCACAAACATCAACCCATAAACAAAGCCCGATAATTCTACTTGCCAGCATCCCAAATCTGTCCACATTTCATCTGTTATCAGCCTAGTCCAGGCCATCACCACTACTTGCCTACTGCGGAAGCCTGACACGCCTCACTGCTTCCACTGCAGCTTCCTTCCAGAACAGAGTAACCTTCCTAAGACCTTAGGGAAGTCACTTAACCTCCCTAGACCTCAGCTCCCTCCGCTGCAAAATGGGGATTATAACAATACCTACTACCCCTTCTAGTGCAGATTAAATGGGATAATGAGTAGACAGCACTCAATGTTTGGCTTTTAAGAGGTGTTCAGTAAATGCTATTATCTTGGGCCGCTCTCCCCGACTCTCCTTGGTCCAGCCACATGGCCTTGGTCCAATCCTCCCGCCCGCAGTATCACCCCCTTCCCTCTCCCAGCCCCACCGGCTTTTCACGGGGTGGCTCCCCATTTAAGCCTCGGCATAAATTCCTCAAAAGGCTTTATCCTATCAACCGGCTTATTTCCTTTTAGGCACTCATGACGATTTGAAATCATCGCCTGGGACTGTCCTGGCGCTCTTCGCCTCTGCCCTCTCACCCGTGAAACCCCGCCAGGGCTGGGGGGAAACTTTCTCCGTGCCGCAGGGCGGGATCCGGAAGCGGGGCCGGATCCGGAAGCGAGGCGGCGCGATGCACTCTGGGGACTGTAGTCAAAGCCTCTCGGGGCGACGAGGCCGGGCAAGCGGTAATTCTACGCCACATTTCAGCCAAAGTTACTCAGCTTTGAGCCCAGGGCGAAAAAGTAAACACGTACCTACATCCGGGCCCCCACGCCGGAGTTCCAGACACAAGAGAGGGAGAGCAGAAAGGAAGAAGATGCCAACAAGGCCACGAGAAGCCATGGCGGGGAAGCCGCGCGTCCGGACGGAAGGCCCGCCCCTTCCGGTCGCGCCTGCCTTCCTACGGGAGTTCTGGAAGAGGGCGCGACCCTGAGACCGGATGTTGGGTGCGACCGAGATCGGGGCCCCTGTTTCTGAACTCATGGCCTGTAGCCTGGTTTCAGAAGGAATGCATCCCCTTCCCGCGTCACATGATGTCCAGGGAAGCGTGGGTGGCGGCTCCCTGGAGGCAGACTCAGCGTCTGTGAGAAGGAACGGCTCCAGAATGAGATAAACTGGAGGGGAAAGTGCACAGGCAGTTGACGCTGTGAGGAGGCAGCCTGGACCCTGGTCCCCTGGCCCTGTGGCTTCGCCCTGATGGTTCCTGGCCCGTCGTGTGGTCTCTGGTTCGTGAGGGAAGACAACCCAAAAGTGGGGCCTGAGGGGGCTGTGGCTCACTTGGGAGAGCCTGGTGCTGACAACACCAAGTCAAGCGTTAAGATCCCCTTACCAGTCATCTTTAAAAAACAAAACAAAAAAAACAGTGGGGTCTGGGACCAAATACTTGCTCCCCCACCCCCCAGGCCTGATCCTGGAGACCCGCTACTCCTTGCCCCTCCCCTTGTCAGTTTCGACTTAACCTTGGCATCTTGGTTTTATGACCTTGTTGCTATCTCATGACTCACGTCTATGACGCTTTCCCAACCTACAACTCAACTCAGTTAAGCCACGGAGGTCCTCGCAACCTACACGATATCATACTTCAAAATTCCCTGTTCTGTTCCGACCATCAACCCTCCCATCTCCCCCTTCCGTTTAGTTCAACTAACATTTATTGAGCCCCACAATTTGCCTGGTATTGTTCACTGAGATTCAAATATGAGTAAGTTATTGAATTCGTCCTCAAGAAACTAAGCTTAATGGGAAAGATACTCCTGTAAACAGACAAATACTCAGTGCTTTGAGTGCTGTGATAGTGACATGCACGGAGTACTACAGAACCGTACTCCAAGGGCTTGCGGAAGGCTTTCCTGAAGGAAATCATGCACAAATTGTGTTGTAAAGGTTAGGAATTCGTGAGGCCGGGGCAGGGGACCCAAGAGAACGGGTGGGATTTCAAGTTTAGGAAACTGAGTGCTGGGGAACTACCAGC